CGGGTCGCGCACGTCCCGGAGGGGCCGGGCTGGCGCCGGCGGCGAGGCCCGAGGCTCGTCACCCCTGTCTTTGCAGCTGGTGGTCCACCTGGGTGATCCCCGCCATCTGCGCGCTGGCTGTGGCCCTGATGTACCGCTACTACACGGCGGAGGACTAGCCTGGAGCGGCCGCGGCGCCCAGCGGCCCGTGCGAGGAGAATCGGAATAGCGTTTCCTGAAAGTAATCGTGATCCACCGGCCCCTTCCAGCTCCAGGAGAAGCAGCCCGACGACCGCCCGCCCATCCCGCTCCGCCCCCTCGTGTGCCTGTGTTCATCAATTGTATTTTGATGTTCTATCACTACATAATTTACTTGTTGTAGAATGATCTTCTAAAAATATACCGGGCTTTTAAAATCCACCCGCGTGGCCTGTCAGTTTGTTGCAGCCTTATTCGCTTCGGCCCTGGCGAGCCGGCAGATGCTCGCGGGCCCAGGAGTGCTGTCGTCCTTGGGGGCCACTGCCCGAGACCCCCCTGGTGCCTCTCCAGATCCAGCCCGATGCCCCAAATTGCATGTGCCAAATTCACTCCTTTGAAGAAAAGCCCAGAAATGGTAACCAAGATTGCAAATAATTGCTCCACTTGAAATAAAGAAAGAGGAAGATGCCCCCAGGACCTGTAAGAGAAACCGTCTCTGGTTAAGAAACACCAGCGCCAGCCTCTGCGCGGGCTGGCACTCCAGGCGCCGGCCACACGGGCCCTGGAGCTCGGCCACCCCTCAGCACGCGGTGGCTGGCCGCCTCTCGGGTCCGGCAGTGCTGAGTCACTGGTCTGTAAAAACACGCAGTTGGGGGGCCGGGGCACATTTGGGACGTGATTTTTGCCGGGCAGTGAGGGTGGTGGTTTGTCCTCGCCCCTGGGGGCTGCTGCTGCTCCTTTATCACCCTGGCTCCTGCTTTCTTCGGGCCGCGTGGAAGTCTGAGGGAGGAACGCCGGCTCCCGCACTGTGCCGAGCTGGCCACCTGCAGGCCGTAGAGTTCTTTGGAAATAAACACGCTGGCAGTGAGTGTTTTAGTTACGGGGTGACGGATGGTCAGTGACGGGAAGCACCTTGCCTCTTCAGTCACGGAAAGT